CTCTTGAGACGTTTTCTCGCCATCAACCTTTTAGCTTGGGGCATTCTAGAAGTGAAACTATTCGCAAGAATCGTCATGCATCATGCAGCTCATCAGCAGCAAGTTTGGGGCATCCAATATTGGTCCCAGGGGCAATCTAGACTTGTTAGAATGTGTGTTATGTATCGCACACTTCATCAGAGGGCGGTGTTCCCAGCTAAGCGTGACTTTCTCCAGCTGAAGATTTGTTCGTGTTGTCGACGATAGAAGACTGGACTTTGGGTTGAATATCTTCCTCTCCAAGAGATTTAAGCCTTGTAGAAGGATTTTACAGCATTGTTGGCTTTTGTCTTCTATCTCCAGTGATGTTCCCCTCCTTTTGAGATTAGTCGAGTACCGGGTTGTACTGTGATGTCTTATCATCCTCTGTCCATTTCCCCTGTCGGTTTCGTCAGCATATACATGACATTCATTTATTCATTCACCATTGCCTCATGCATGCACAATTGAATTTGTTGTTGTCTTTGAGTTCGTACACCTTGGTTGTGTCTATTCAAATAACGTATTTGATCTTTCCAAATAGAGTGCCGATTTAAGCATAAAATGTGCCTCCTTTCTAATTCCCCAACTGAGCTAATCCTCGTGGGTAATTTTTGATTTAGCTTACCTTGTCCATTTCTGGATAGGATAATTTCCCCAATCGATTTACTTTCTCATTGGGAGGAGTCTTGTTTGATTGTTTTCTCTCTGGTTATTCCTGGATGAAGTGGCTGCCTCTTGCATAGGCTATACTCTTTGATTTTCCCCAGTGAAATTGCGACCTAGACGGTTGGTGCATTTATTTTGCACGTTAAAATGGATGATCTCCTCGGGAAGGATTGATTCAGGGTTCTCTTTGATGAAGATTTTATTCTCTGCCAATATCATCGCAGTTTCCTTCTGAATTATGTTGGAAAACGACAAGCGGTAGCTCTTCACGAGCAACTTGTACATTACTTTTTCGAAAGCGCCGAGCAGCAGTTCTTCACGAGCTACTAGTGCGTTATTTATTTTCTGAAACGCCAGCAGTTCTTCATGAGCTACTAGTGCGTCATTTATTCTTTTCGAAAGCGCCGAGCAGCAGTTCTTCATGAGCTACTAGTGCGTCATTTTTATCTTTTCGAAAGCGCCGAGCAGCAGTTCTTCATGAGCTACTAGTGCGTCAGTTATGACTTTGTGAAAGCGCCGAGCAGCAGTTCTTCATGAGCTACTAGTGCGTCAGTTATGACTTTGTGAAAACGCCAGCAGTTCTTCATGAGCTACTAGTGCGTCATTTTATCCTTTTTGGGAAACGCCGAGCAGCAGTTCTTCATGAGCTACTAGTGCGTCATTTTATTCCGTTGGAAAACGCCAGCAGTTCTTCACGAGCTACTAGTGTGTCATTTTATTTTTCTGAAAGCAACGAGCAGCAAACTCTTCATGAGTTACCAGTACGTTATTACTTTTCGGGACGACAGCAAGCGGCAGCTTCTTTATTTGAGCAGCTTGTATGTTATTGGTATTCTCTTTGGACGACAGCAAGTGATAGCCTCTTTATTTGAGCAGCTTGTTTGTTATCGGTATTTTCTTCGGAAAACAGCAAGTGGCAGCCTCTTTATTTGAGCAGCTTGTTTGTTATCGGTATTTTCTTCGGAAAACAGCAAGTGGCAGCCTCTTTATTTGAGCAGCTTGTTTGTTATCGGTATTTTCTTCGGAAAACAGCAAGTGGCAGCCTCTTTATTTGAGCAGCTTGTTTGTTATCGGTATTTTCTTCGGAAAACAGCAAGCGGCAGCTTCTTTATTTGAGCAGCTTGTATGTTATTGGTATTCTCTTTGGACGACAGCAAGTGATAGCCTCTTTATTTGAGCAGCTTGTTTGTTATCGGTATTTTCTTCGGAAAACAGCAAGTGGCAGCTTCTTTATTTGAGCAGCTTGTTTGTTATCGGTATTTTCTGTGGACGACAGCAAGTGGTAGCCTCTTTATTTGAGCAACTTGTATGCTACCGGTATTTTCTCTGGACAAATTGCAGTTTTTCTTTATTTGAACAACCTTCGTATCTACAATCTTATTACTTCAGCATTAATGAGTATATCTTTGAAAATCTAGCAGAGAAGTCTGTTACGAATCTATACCTCCAGAAGTCGGTAATCAGTTATCAGCAATTTGATACTCTCTGTCTACCGTCGACCTTGAGTTGCGAACTCACTGTTTGGATCAACGATCTGTTATGGCCTATGCAAGATGCTCTCTTTGTTAGGGTTAGAGGTTGTATCCCCTCATTTTTGTTCGCTGTCGGGAGCCTGTCGTTTGAAGTCGATAGCTTGTCTCCCCAGTAATGTATAATCCCAACCGCTGTGTTTTGTTGGTGTTCGATTCCCCCAACATTGTCTTGTTTCACACAATATCTCTCTCTGTGAATTCATGCACTACATTCATATCACTGCATGATGACGGCATCATAGGACAAAATTTGCGTAGTTATGTATTTAAGTACCTTCAATCTCGTCGAGACGAAGACTTTAATCTTCATATCTCCGGATAGAAGGAACTTAAATAGGGGCAGCTGTTATACCCCAAATTTTGACCTAAGATACCGTCTTCCATCTGCATCATTCGCATTGCAAGAGTTTTGACCTATTTTATCAAATTTTCAAAACAGTTTAAAAATTCATAACTTTTTCGAGTCGGAAGCTGTTTATTTGTTGAACGCTAAATTTATTAACTAATCAAGACTTAAACAATGTTCATTAATTATTTATTATCTTAAATTCAAATAATTGGAATTTTATTTTCGATTATTACGTAATTTAAAGACTTATAAATAATAAAAAGAATATTTGAGAAAAGATTTATTAATGGGTCAAATAATGTTTATTAATTATTCACTATCCTAAATTTAAATAATGGGAACCTGTTTTCCGTTATTATATAATTTGAAGGTTTATGAATAATGAAATAAACATTTGAAAAAGAGTCTATTAATTGATCAAGCAATGTTTATTTAATTATTTATTGTTCTAAATTTAAATAGCTGAAATTCTATTTTTTAAGTTATTATAATTTAGAAGAATTAAAAATAATAATAAAATAAATAATTGAAGTTATTAATTGATCAATGATGTTTATTTATTTGTTTATCATTTTAAATTTAAATGATTGAATTTGATTTTTAATCATTATATAATTTAAAGAATTATAAACAATAAATAAATAATTGGAAAGAAAAAGAATTAATTGAGAAATAATAGAATTTTTATTCACTTTATTCTATTTATTACAATTGTCATTTAAATGTTGTGTTATTACAAAATATTTATAAAGACAATTACATAAATGCTTAAAGTAAATAAAAAAACTATTTTTCTAAATTCTAATTCTAAATCTTCAATCCAATGCTCTTGTTCGCTCATTTAATTTTACCTGCGAAAACGATCAAAAGAAAGAAATTAGAATTCGAATAAATAATTAAAATGCAGAAAATAAATTCAATGTTCATCATTAAAAGCAATGGCCGGAATCAGTTACTCTTTTTTGCAAATCACGGGATTTCTCCCGGTTCACAAAAAAGGAGAGGAATTTTTAAATGAATGCATAATTAAAAAATAGCACATTTCAAAATCAATTGCATTTTTATCAAAAAAGCCCACTGCATATTTCAAATATGCATAAATTCAATTTTGGTCAAAACTGCATAAACCATACAAAACAACATAGCAAGCGTTCACAAGCGATTCGACCTATTTTTTGCCACTTCTCGGGTCAGATTTCAAAAATTCATAACTTCTTCGAATTTCGATATTTTTTAGAGGTTGTTTTTGCGCATGATTTTCCTTGACATCATCCACAACTTTTCTTTATAAATCAAGGGAAAATTATGCATTAAAAAGCCATGAGAAATTGTTGACGTTAAAAGTTGTTTTGTGAATTTGGTGAAATTTGGGTTCGACTGTGTTTTATTCATGATTTCTTTTCCATTAAAAAATTGCAAAAGACGCACTTAACATGTGTTATTATTTTTATTTATTTATTTATAATTCAAAATATAAAAAAATATGATCTTATTAATTCTATTTAAATTTATATGTTTGTATCACTTTATTTGAAAAAATCTAAAAAATGTGATTAGCATCATCTTTATTTTAGTTGTATTTTACATCCAAAAAAATCTCAAAGAAAAAACATATAGTTAATACCATTTTCTTTTATTTACATTTTTTTTATTTATTTCTTTAGTCATTATAATTTTAGTTTCTTTTTAATTTTGATTTAGTTCTAATATTAATTGAATTTCTTAAATTGAATTATTATTATTACTAAACACTTTTTGTTTGTGTCTTTTATTTTAATTCTTTTTTGTACTTTTAGTTTAGTTGTTACTAACAATCTCTTTTTGGTTAATTATTATTATTATTTTTTTCTTTTCTTGCTGTTAATTTTTTGTCCTATCCATTTTGCTTCAACTCTTGCCAAGTCTTCCTACCAACCTGCTATTGTCATACTGCAAATCTGCACCATAATACATCCAAGAAACTAACATGAGAATGGCATTTTTTTTTCAAAAAAAAGAATAAAGCAAAAAGTCACACTATACTTCCTCTATCTTTAGAATAAACTTGAATCTCAATCAAAAAGAACAACGGTAATAATTCCTTGGGAGTTTTTCACAAAAAACTTCTAACTCCCATATATTATTATCCGTTTTTTTTACAGGGGGATCCTTCACTTTTCATCTTTCTCTTCAACTCATTTCCTTCCACCCACCTCTCACTGCAAAAAAAAATCAATTACACCCCTTTACAAAAAACAATAGATCACTCATTCAAGAATACAGTAGAAAATACATACAAGAAAAGAACAAAAAAATATATTTTCATACCTCTACGATCTTCCGCCTTAGATCTTGAATTCATTTCCTTTTGAAGAACTTGGCAGAGAGACTTTGACAGGTAATGCTCATTCCATCCTTTTGCATAAAACCGACATCTCTGTATGTATTCGTTATCAAAACTTGTTGATGTTGCATATGTAATCCCTGCTACAAAAGTAAAAAGGATAGAATTGAGTCCAAATCAAATTACTTGTGTTTACGAATAAACCAGAAAGTTTAGAATCGGGTAAAAAATAAAATCACCTTAAAGCTTTGACATCATCCTCACCGTTACTCTTTCCTCCATTTCCTTCCTTCTCGTTTCACTATTTCAGTTTCTATTTCAGTTTCTGATATTCGCTTTTGCATCTTTAGAGTCACCCAAACACCCCCTAACACCACAATCACAACAAGCAATTTAACCGTAGCGAAAAAGTTTGTTACCGTTACTGAATCGTTAACCTCAGTTCCAAAACCATCACCGAGCTCCCACCGTAGAAATTCTCTGATCTCCGCTCCTGTTTCCTCCATCCCGAACCAGATCTCCTCTCCCGCGCCGCCACTCGCCGCTTCTCCACCGACGTGGCTACCCCCACCACCACGTCTGTTCTCCAACAACATACAACTCTCATTTCTTCCTGTTCGCAACTTGCATCGCGCCGCCCAGATTCCATAGATGAAGTATTGTAAAGTTTTTAACGTTTTAGCGTGAAGAAGAGAGAAGTGTGGAATAGGAGGTTGATAGAGGTAATAGGTGTTGTTAATCACGTGAGAAAACAAGGAGTTATATTTGTTTTAATTGATTTTTTAATTGAGAAATAATCAGAATTAATTGACAATTAATTGATTAGATCTTCCCAAATGACAGCTGGCGGCGCCTCTTTGTAGAATTAGGGTTATAAAAACCCTTCCTTTACCTCTCCAAAACCGGGTCGGTCCAATGGGCTACTGGCCCAATAACTCAACTTTTTTTTTCCCTTTTTGTTTTAAAAGAACGTAATAATTAATGAATAAGCGAAACAGTTTAATTGGCAAGGCATATTACTAGCAAACTAAGTGTCCTGGGTTCAAATCTTGGTTGGGTCACTTATTTATCTTTTATTTCTTTTGGCCATATTATTTAATACACTTAGTTAATTATTAATCCACTTTGCTGTAAAATTGTTAATTAGTAAAAAAAAACACATAAAAACATTTCATTAAAATTTCACCTTTATTTAATTTTGAAAACATACATTTTTCTTCTATTATATTTTGTGATGTTGCTTATTTAATTATTCAAAAAATACATGTTTTCATGATTTAATTTTGTCATGTGATTAATTATCAAAAAAAATCTATGTTTTCTTAATCTTCATGTGCTCTTTTATTATTTACTTAATTTTTAAGATGCATGCTAGTATGATTTAAATTTCATCAGTTAATCGTTTAATTATAATTTTGATTAATTGATCGTTAATCCGTATATCTCTCGTCCGTTTCAATCCAAAGGGAATTGTCTAATTTTTGTTGACTTCATGTCTTCAAAAAAAACGATCGAGCGAATACCCTCATTTCATTGAAACTTAGGATAATTTTTCCAAATATCCGATTTCTCCAAAACTCACACCTTTTAAGTCAAAAACTTCAACGTTAGGTTGTCGTATCTTCAAAAACCCGTCCGTATCCCTTTTCGGCCAAAACGATTTATTTTCAATCAAGCGATCAATTTTAAAACAGATATTTCAAAAGGTTCCTATAGAGTACTATAGATGCATTGGGTGCTAATACCTTCCCATTGTATAACCAACCCCCGAACCATAAGATCTCTTTTCAAAAACGCTTTGTATTTGTATTTTATTTACATTGCATATTTAGGGTTTTATTTCGCTCTCTTCCCTTTTCCCTTGGAAACAATAAAGCGCGGTGGCGACTCTTGCTTTTGTGAGACGAATTAATCAATAATTCGATCTCCGATTTACCCCGCTACATTTTTTATCGCTACACTATCCCCCAGCGGAGTTCATCAAATCTTCCAACATAACTCTTCAACGGAATCCCCAACGGAGTTATCATCAAACCTCAGCGAAGTATCTCTCTTCGCACAGAGTATTCCCCGCAAAGTAATCTCTTCGCCAAGTTTATTCCCCAACAGAGTCATCTTTTCCTACCGGTTTATTCTTACAATCAACATCCCCAGCGGAAACGAAGAACTCTGTTCTTCAACATCAGCCCAGGATTTAACTTCCCGACATTCGTCAAGGATTTATTTTCCTAGACGAAAATACATTCATAAACATATCACCTTTCATACATCTTGCTTACATACGCAATGCATGCACGTACGCATCATATCACACAAATCTCATTTGTTTTTGAGAGCATCTTAAGATCATGAAGTTCATGCATCATGACATTGCATACAACTAATGTTTTGCCTTTTCAGGAAAAAGGTCAATCCAAAGACAGTTACTATCAACTGTCGCAATTCCAGATTCGATACCTGTATCTAGCCAGGGCATATCTACATTTCAGAGATAGCTTGGAAATGCTCCAGATATGGATGTTGTTCCTTTGCTTATTCAAGAATCCTTCTAGATATAGTTCAGATGTGACCCAGGCATGGCGACGTTCTGATACTTATTCCAGATTTCCTTTCAGAGATAGCTTGGAAATGCTCCAGATATGGATGTTGTTCCTTTTCTTATTCAAGACTCCTTCTAGATATAGTTCAGATGTGACCCAGGCATGGCGACGTTCTGATACTTATTCCAGTTTTCCTTTCAGAGATAGCTTGGAAATGCTCCAGATATGGATGCTGTTCCTTTGCTTATTCAAGACTCCTTCTAGATATAGTTCAGATGTGACCCAGGCATGGCGACGTTCTGATACTCATTCCAAATTTCCTTTCAGAGATAACTTGGAAATGCTCTAGATATGGATGTTGTTCTTTTGCTTATTCAAGACTCCTTCTAGAGATAGTTCAGATGTGACCCAGGCATGACGACATTCTGATACTTATTCAGATTTCCTTTCAGATATAGCCTAGAGATGCTCCAGACACGGATGCTATTCTATTTCTTATTCAGATTCACCTATCCACCATCTTTCCAAATGGCATTTATAAGCCCATTCCCGACAAGGTTCTGTCACACCTCCAAATGGAATCTATAAGCCCATCTTCCTATCCATCATCTCTCCAAATGGCATCTGTAAGCCTATTCCCGACATCACACTGCTGATACTCGACTATGTGAGTGCAAATTTCTGGGCACACTAGTGTTCAATCATCTTCCACCCTCGGATCACGAAAGGCACACAAGCCAATCTACATCCTCAGGTCTAAGAAGATTGAACAGGGGAAACTGTTGTACCCCAAAATTTTCCCTCCCATAATCTTCAAAGTTTTGACAAACATCACCTCAGATGGTTCAAAGTTTACTCAAGGGCTACACAGTCAACCATCCTCCTAAGGCAGGCAAAATTAGGGTTTTGGTTCCTACAAAGAAGTTGAGGGCTTCAAGGGCTCAATCAAGTCCCATATGCTCATAAACATTGTCAAGCACCTACATGTCAAGTTTCAAGGCTCACAAGATCAAGTTGCACAGTCAAAAATCCTAATTGCTCCACAGTCAACTGCAGGGGCAAAATGGTCATTTGGCAGTCAAAAGTCAAAAATTTTGGTCAACATCTTATTTTGAAGCCACAATCATCATTTGGTCAAATCTTGACCATGATTTCACAAGAATGGCTCAAAAATCATCAAGGTGTCAAAAGTTTCTATTTTCGGACAGCTGAAAAGTCAACTGTAACTTGACCAAGGCATAACTTTTTCATGGTTCATCAGAAAAATCCCATCCAATGCTCATCTTGAAGGGGAAGACATTTCCTACAACTCATCTTCACATTCCAAGTCCAAGAAATGCTCTCACAAAAAGTTATCAATTTCAACATTATAGGTCATTTTCAAAAGTCAACAAAAAGGGACTTTAAGTCAAAGACCATAACTTGAGATTGGTAAATCAAAATAACATGGGACCAAAGACATTGGTTAGAGGACTTCAAGACCTTTCCAAAATGTCCAAGAACATGTTCATAGCTTCAAAATTGAGCAAGATATGCATTGTAGTAGTTGGGAAATTTTTGTGAAATGGCCAAAGTCAATTATCCTTGAAACTTCATTTTTGACAAAAGGGGCCCACTTTTTCTACTTGTTTCAGCTTGGCCATGCTTCCCACGTGTCCCACAATTTATTTCAAGATTTAAAATTAATTTTTCCATTTTTATTTAATTTTATTTGATTTAATTCATTTTAAATCTTTTAAAATCAAATAAAAATCAAAGAAATTAATGGAGGGATATATTTTGTGATGATTAGCTTTGATACACCTTAAAACACATTCCAAATTCGTGCAAGGGCCTATTCCAATCATGTTTAGAAGACAGTCTGTTGTCCTGAACAAAACAGGCCTGCTATGCTATCTCCAAACACTGCCATAACACTCTAAAACTGCTGCAAAACAGCCCTGCTATGCTGCTCCTAACCCAGTCCAAGCCTGCATTATCTCAACCTCATATTTGCACCAAATTAGCACATAAGAGCTGCATAAAAAACGCTATGAAAGCATACCCAAACCGTTCAAATTGTTATTTGTTTCCCTCCCAAAATCCCAACAAAACTCATGTATAAATAGATTGTTTTCACAACACACAATGGGCTGGCTTTTAGAGAGAGAATAGATAGTTTTTGAGCAGAAAAAACAACATTCTTTGTAAACTTGACTCATTCAAAAAACCAACTCTACTTTTATTCAAAACAGAACCTTAATCCATTATTCCATCTTATAAACTCTCCCATAAACCAAACACCTTATTACATAGAGATTTTTCAAACACAAGAACAATTTCTGTAATGCCATTATATTCACCCTCCAAACATAAAAACAATATTGTACAACTTGAATGAGTTAGTGTGATTCAACAATTTGGAACAACTTCCTGGAGATTCATTGGAGCCATCACAGTATCTTGAAAAGTATTCAGACTTGAAACACCAAGTGCAGTCTCAAGGTAAGTCTTCTTGACTTTTCATTTTTTTTCATACATCATTAATGATTTATTTTGAAGATAAAATGTAGTAATCATTGCCCCTTTGAGCTAACCATTTGTTTGTTGTTTATGTTTATCAATCATATGTTGTAAACTGACTTATACAGACAAGAAAACAATGTTTAAGGAAAAACCTGCATTATGAGTCGACACACACCCATACAGGTCGACTCATTATAATGAAAAAATAGGGTATGAGTCGACAGATGGCCTTATGCATCGACTCATACTATTATCTAGGCCCCAAAAATAGAAGGATGAAAGGTGCGTGAGTCGACACAAAACGCGTATGTGTCGACACAAACAGGCGCATGAGTTGACACATCCCGTTATGCATCGACTCATACTGAGTTGGTTTGGTTTTACAGGAGCAAGGAAAGTTATGTGTCAATGCATAGCAGCATGTGTCGACACATAATAGTTCAAAATGCACTTTTTTTCCTTCTTTTTACACTATTTTTACATTTCTTCATTGTTATTTGATATGGTTGTAATATTTAAGTTTCCACATTATCCCTATTTGTAAATTGTAC